TACTACTACTACTACTACTACTACTACTACTACTACTACTACTACTACTACTACTACTACTACTACTACTACTACTATGATCATTACACCGTGTTCAATTTTGAATAACTCACGAAGGCATTTTCGAAGATGTTGGTTTAAACGTGAAATTATTAATCGCCACCCAGCTTTGATGGTGGGCAACTTTTCCATTGTCCGGTTCTATATTGTATATTATTATTCTATTTCACACTCGTCTGAAGCCAGACTGTGTGCCGAACAAATCATGGTACAATAATCTTTACAAAAAGAAAAATGTTTCGCGATTTGCATGTGGGCCGAATACTGCCAGGCTGCCCAGGCCAAGTAAATTAATTTTCTTGGGGAATCCACACCCGGAGCCTTCGGCTAGCCGAAGCCTAACCCACAAGGCAGCGAGGCGATGTGCGAAAACCGCAATCTTTGGGGGGTCAATGTCCAGTTCATTAGATCATACGCCCTCCGGACGGAATCAAACGTCCAAGGTGCTGTTAATGTGGTTCACCACTCCAAGTCACAGTCCTTAGATTACCAGTTTTCATCACTGAACAGCAGATCTACCCAACTGTGGGATCCACCCCGTCTACTATCTATCCCACACAAATAAGGGTGTTGAAACGATATATCGACATGACGACAAATAGTGCACACAGTAAGTCCCATTTCAACCACAAAAATAAGCAGAATAGTACCAAAGATTACAACCCAATCAATCATGTTCAATATTATCTAACCGTTCAGATAGAAAAACTAATGAGATGAGATGATGTCTTTTTACTTCCTTTTTTATTGATTGAAGATACAAATGTACAATTAACATTCAGTAAGGGGGCTGCAGCCATACAAAGGCTGTCTGGGGTAAATAAAGAAATAGGGAAGACGAGCGGCGGTGGAGTGGTTCGAACTCGGAACTTCCAGGTCACAAGTTAATGACCTAACCACTTGACCACTACCCCCGAGCAATATTCTTTTATCAATAATAGTATCCTATTAACGTCTTTATCTGGCACACTCCCAGAGAACAAAACAGTTCCAACTGGAAAATATGAGTACGTATATTCATGTGTAGATGGTTTGCGTAAATGACCTCTCACTAACTGGCTCTGATCAGTTTCGTTGATGCACACCACTGTGTGACAGACAACAGAAACGATCAAATCCATACTCATGAAGACAAACTGTTCACTGGTGACACCAGGTAACTAAAACTGCAGGACTGGAAGGGACAAAACACATGAGGCATTGCGAAGATACGCACGGTTTCGAGCTCCGTGGTAGCAAAGCTGCGTAGCATCAAAGTTGGTTGGTTGTTCTGTGGTCTAAATCTCATACCTTAGACCTCAAAGCACCCCGCTAAGAACGAGTTACATCGATTATCCGCCGTCATTCGAAAATTTATGTCACATGATAAATCTTCAAACTATTGATTTCAGCTTTTCAATTGCCAGGTTTGTCTTGCCTATAAACTGATGGTGTAAATGCTCGACAGCTGTCGCCATCTGTGATCTGCGTCTCCCGTGGTATCAGGCAGGTATGAATTGTATAGAACAATTTAGCCCGCGCTCTAGATTTCTTCAGCCTAAATTCCACCAGGATAATTCACCCACGTTTTGATGTTGCCTCTTTAGCCAGATTTTCAGCCCTCAGCTGTATCAAGATCAGTCCTTTTGAGCCTCAGTCACTTCTAAATGTGCGTGAGTTGATACCAAACTTTTCCCGCTAGAACATTTTTACATCTAAATGCTTTCAAACCCAATGCAGGAAGCGTGGCGGTTGTTTTCACTGACTATCTTTTTTCCTTACTACTTGATGTTCCCGTTGGAAACGAGCACTACTTGGAAAACGCTAATGATTGAATGTAAAATGGTCTCACACGCTCAGTGAAGGGAGAGCTATGATATACGCAACCGCTTCCTTTACCCGGCCCTTGAACAACAGTTTCAGAAGTTTAGATTCAACTTCTAGACTAAAACATTTGAACACACGCAACGTTTTAATTCCCTTCTCCCCTCGGAACCCTCCGTCCTAACTACCGTCACATCCTATTTGAAGACCAAGCTGCAATTGGTAGATATTGTCTACTTCCTGTGTTCATTTTGCTTATGTGTACGCAACTTTTCTCTGTAGTATCTGGGGAAAACGGATCACCAGAAAAAATTCTTATTTGCTACATTGTATTTTCTTCCTCCATGAAATCGTATAGTTGAACCAGACACAAACGTGTATTTAATTCACGAAGGCCAAAGATGGCTCGTGAAAAACAAATGCACTGGAAGGAGCCTTTCATATAATCAGTGTATCTCATACATCTCAAATCTGTCTACTCGGTGAAATGCGATCACATAGGTAAAAGAATTTACCATTTTGTATTCGCCAACGTTGGATTAGGGATGGGGTCAAACGAACGCTTAGTTCCGTAAGTAATTCTCTGACCCTCTAGTAGGATTATCAAATCTTCCGTTTGCCTGGGCCAAGCTCATTGCTTAAATAAGTCTTTTTCCAAACGTAGAAAATCGGCTGAAAAGCTCGGACTAGTAAGGGCCGCGCACAGCGCAATTCATCATTGCTGAATATGATAACCTCTAAAAATTGGAAATAGGAACAACAACGTAACCTTCAGTATAAAACCTACTGGCGAACTCAAAAGAGAATAGATCACAAGAGTGAATTCAACACGAGTCAGGTTTTGCACCGAAAAGCAAATTCTCACCAATTTTCCGATGCACAAATTAAACATCGTTGAATTGAGAAAAATTATAATTTTGTTCAAATTTCTTCTATCGTTGTCATTGTACATAACCTCCCTGCCCGNCCTGCCCGGAAAAAGGGCTGTCATTCACTCGCATACCAAATTTCATCATTTTGATCGTGATGATGTGGAATACCGTGGGAACAAACCAAGAGTGTCTCAAAGCGTATGAAGAAATGCGTATAATGATACCGAACAGACGGGCAAAAACATCATTCTATTTTCCACCGAGGCAAAACAACGCGGTAGATGGCTTCCACCGTTGTGTTTCTTCATTATGGTTCGTGCACAGCGAAATACAAATGACAAGGGAGACACGTTTTTCGATTGTCCAGATTCTTACTCAAGAAATACGCTAGAAAATTTGACATCAGTGAAGGACAAAGTTGAATAAAAGCAATGCAGTTGTTGTCTGTGGTCATGAGTAGATGACAGAACTGATGACTAAATCACTTACTTCAACAAGTCATAGTCCACTGGTTCCAACTGTACTGCACTCGTATCGCTTTGTATTACTTGGAATAAAGCGATTTGAAGGGAATAATCTGCCAGAGGGGAGAGACGTTTGAACCGGTATTCGGTGAGAAACGTTATATCCATACCAAAAATCATGGAATTGAGGAATGCTCCACAACTAAGGTGATTATCCAGTTATTTTTTACCTCAAATGAGTCTGAATAGGATGGATTCATCGGTATAAAAATTTGTGAAAAGGCTCCCCATCTGGTGCATAATGACACTAATGGTATGTTATCCCAACTGCATTATTATTGCCTTGACCGTGTTCTATGCATGTGCTGCAGTAGGCGACTTCAATCATTTGGTTGTACTTTTTACTCTAATCCTTAAGGAGAGCTGGCACCAGAGCGAGTTAACACTCAGATTCCAGACGTACAAACTCATCCGCTAGTTTTTAGTCAGTTAGCACTGCTAGTAGTAGTAGTAGTGTGCCAAATGAAACAAAAAAGGTCTCGCGAGGGAAGTGGAAACTGCTTCGCTAAATAACTTTCCTGTGTTTGAAAACTACAATGGTATTGCCAGACTGTATGGATTACCCACGTGTCAGCCATCAGTAGTTTGTGTGTATTAGTTGTTCTTGGCACAGTTTCCCCAAAACCAGCGGTCATCCTGGTCGGATATATTTGACCAGTGCATTTCGCACAAATATAGAAAAAGATCAATACCGGGGGGCTGAGCAAAACGTTTTTGGTTACAAGATATAAAACGAGTACGAGATGCAGATGACCGGGCAAGAAAAACGTGAATTGTCATATATTGTAAGTACTTTTCAGTTGATTGCAACTCACAGAACTAAATACCAACGCAGCCAAGCACAGCTTACAAGTCATACGAGGGTCGCTATACTATAAAGATGGAACTCAGTCGATGCCACTGGAGGGCGATGATCTTCTACAATTACAAATGTGATTTAAAGCAGCAGCATCAGCAGCAGAGTATTGATCGTTTGTTAGTTGTCTTTGGTGATGATGCACCTTCAAGAAGTATTGCGCTTCCAAATGTCAAGAGCATGATGCGTGGAATCCGATACAAATCACCAACAGCTGCAGTGGAGGTCTTTACTGAATTGGTCGGAATGTTACTCTCTTCGAAATGGTCGAGTTGTTTCACCAAATGGTTCGAACGCATGGAAGTGTGCTCGAACGCTGATACTTCAAGAAAATGCAGTGCCTATTTTTGTGTAATAAATAAAACTTTTCGTGCATCCGGAGACGCTTGGCTTAGCTCTCGTACTATTATTCTTTGCTAATACATACCTTTTGCATAAAAATATTAGCTGCTTTTAATCTGGGAGCATGTGAACAACAATTCCGAGAAATTGGTCCCCCCCTTCCACCCTAATGGGTGGTGGCGCAGAGCTTCAGTTACCGTCATTGGCGTGCTTCGGACCCTACGGTCTGAGGTTCAAGCCTCACCGCCACCATCCGATTTCGGTGGTAGACAGCTTTGCTGTCATTTGGTTCAATATCACGTCCGACCAAACGGGGCCTTATGTGGTTGCGCCACTCCAAGTCGCGGTCCATAGATTACCGGTTTCCATCACTGAACAGCAGGTCTTCCAGACTATGGGGTCCACCCCGTCTGCTGTTCATCACACACAGACGTGGGTTATGAAGAAAAATGTGTAATAATTGTTTTTGACAAAGTGGCGAGCTGCGCTCTTTTGCAGCAGCATAGCATGTGTGATGCACACAGTTTAGTATTGTTTTGATCAGCTGCGCTCAACTGATAAAGGAACATGTACTATGGCCACATCGCATTTAAAATTTGAATCTGATTCAGTCCACACCAAAAGTCGCAGTTCAGCACGACTTCTGAACAATTGGATTCCGCTGTGCTAGATATACAGTCTCAGTTACACACCGGTCAGGCACCAACCATTCGTGTGCTTATATTGTTCCCGTGAGCATAGTTAAGGGTTAATAGAATGAAGTATTTTGGTTATGCAATGGGTTCGTATCACGTCTGATTTGAAAGAGAAAGTTTCATCAACGATGAGAAGAAAATGTTCAATGAACATGAAATATGATAGAACCTCTCCGAGTTATTGCATTATCTCTATGAGGACGGATTTCGACAAATTACCGTAAAATCCTGATTTATCAATTGAATTTCCAATAGTCAGCAAGCAGCGTACGATCAGTTTGTGTATTGGTGGTGTAGTAATCCAGGCCTACGTGATGACGCCTACCCTGGAGCGGAGCATTACAGTTTCTGGACATCTGCGATCAATCATATTTGCAAGATGAGGTCAATGACACGCGCATGACTTCTGACTACACGTCATTGGTGGATCGTGTCAGCCGAATTCGAGGCAGTGCAGATAGAAGCAGAATTATGCAAGCAGTATTGCAATCTGATTGGTGGAAGTCTAGATAACCAATGATCTTCTTTTGTACATATCGCCTTCATTTCTTCCAGTAAACCAACCACCTACTACCATTCCTGTGGCCTTTTCCTCGCGTCTCGTTCACCTGGGATATTGCGAGCTCGTGCCATTGCGGTCCAGTGCTTCCGTGATCCAGTCCGTGATAGCTGATCCTTGATTCGTGTTCCGTGATACGTATTGCGTGGTTCGTGTTCGGAGTTCCGTGCGTATTACTACTACTACTACTACCACTACTACTACTACTACTACTATTACTACTACTACTACCACAATCACTACGGGTGGTTCGGGGCTTCAAAGTTTTGGTTAAAAGAAATTGACTGTAGAATACACGGCTAACCTTGCGTCGAATACCTCGTACGGTTTTGTACTACTAAGCGTTGTATTGGTGTTGAAGGGAGACAGTCTATTAACCCTAATTCATTGCTTTGGGACAAGAAATGAATAAACTGACAGTCATGGAAGCCAATGCCTGAACAAATATTAACTGGCAACTCGGGTCAGCCCTGCTGTGAGCTGGTTGGCACAGTGCTAAGGCACGCACCATCCGTGCAAAGGGTCTGGAGTTTTAAAACCGGACGGCTGGGGGGATATGCGCTGCAGATGAACGCAAAACCCAAGACTTGTATATCCATACCAAGTGCCTGGTTGACTGGATGAACTGAGAATTGTGAATGACGTTGAAATCCATAAGATGATCAGTCCACATCACTATTTCCTGTCGCACATCACTTATTAACGGTGAGATAAATGTGAAATAAAAACCTTATCAGTTGATTGGTCATTCATGATTGACCATAATCCTAGAGGCTGATACTGGGATGAGCCAGTTCTGATGGCCGCCACAAGCTTTGCTTGTTCTATATCGTGTATATACAGAATGAAACACGGTTTAATGATCAAGTGGGCAATATGCTTGCTGTCTATTTGTGGGGTCTCGGGTTGGATCTTCAGTTATCTAATGCATCTCAACTTTCCAGTTCACGTTTTCGTTGCTATGCACATGCATAAATGTATTATGAATAAAACTTTTTCGCAAATTTTGTCGGTCTGTTTAAAATTTTAATTTGAGTATAAACCCTTAATCACCCAAAGAGTTCACATTTCAACGACAACTAGCAACTTATAACTTTTTAATTCCCAAACGGAAACAGAAAATTTTCTCATAAATGAGAAGATGGTTGGAGCACGAAAAAATTCAGCACTTCAAGGCTCAATCGACTGTAAACGTCTGAATACATTTGTAACTATCAGGTTGAGATAAATTTGACTCGTGTTTAATTGGGTGTGCGTTTATCAGGCAAGCTGCTCACCTCGTTGAGTCAGCCACTTTTCTCCGTACGATGCAAACAGAACGTCTTCTTGTTCCAAATGCCTTACACTCGTGACCTCCTGGCCATCTTCGTGAAACAGACGTTGAATGAGACCAAACTTTCCGCTGCTCGGCCCGTTGGCAACAAATGCCGCTTGTGATATCTGATCGAGGAGCTGTTATACAGGGGGAATGGTTGATTCAACCGGAGAAGATTCGGCAAGCTTTAATATGTTAAGTGAATATGTTTATTAGCGCTGAGTAAATTCTTTGAACCTTGGCGTTAACCAATGTGCAAAAGTAGAAAGTACAAAACGAAGAGCTAAAGATCTGGACGGGATGAANCACACACACACACACACACACACACACACACACACACACACACACACACACACACTGCTGATGAAAGAAAACAATAACCTTACTCCACTGAGTCCTTTACTGGAATTATGATGCATTATATTTATGTGTTCTGTAGGACTAATGAAACGATTTAAACAATCCCAAGACTCATCCGTACTCCGTGAACCTGACAGTTACGTTAAATTCCTTACGAAATTGGCAGTGACAAATACTCGTATTCAGTTTCTCAACGAGTGTATATCAGACTCAAAATATTTTAAACAATACCGAACGGTGTTATGAAGAAATAGTGTCAACATCGCTAATGTGTCTCTACGTCGCAAAGCACTTAACAAAGGAGATGCCTTATCAAGCCGTGTACCCGAGATGGAGCAAAATTCTGTGAAATCTTCCCGTGTTTTGGATGAGCTGACCATAGAGGAGAAAGAGAAATTTATTGCTTACGTTCAATCAATTACACACAAGCAAGTCGAGCGGATATGTAAGGCATTTCGAAAATGTATCAACCCTAGCAAGCTGATTGGCAAGTTCCCTTCAGATCCGAAGAGATTTATCCATAATTTGTCATCATATTTATGTGTAAACTCTTGATGCGAAATATCGAATAGAATTTTCCTCATGTTACTCCATCACGTGTTCACCTCACAATAATTCTACTCGCGTACAAAATACAAACTGAATTTCTTTAGAGAACGTGGTTTTATCCTCGTCATGGAAACAACATACGCTTTAAAACTCATTAGTTAATATGCTTGTGCAGATGCGTGAAATCAAGTTTGTTAACTCCGAGTCATTCCCAAGTCGATACCAGCTGAGCAAAACAATTTCTTCCAACTGGTATCATAAATGACATCGTCGCAGACTGAACTCCGTGTTTAGAGGCTGGTGCTGCTTCAGTCTCGTCATTGTGAATGTGGGATGCGTGGATTTCACAAAGGGAAGCTGGAAGGAAGATATCGATCGGTATAAATAATTCTTGAGAGGAAGAATGTTCATTTCGCTGTAAATGACAAAGCGTTTTCTTTTACTTGATTATTTATTTTTCGACCTGCCGTCTCACCGTCTATATTCCTTTTGCTTGTTTGTAATATGAAGAAAAGTGATAGAGTATGTTTCGTAACCCAAAACCACTTTTGTCTCTTGTGGTTCGTTCCTATGGTAACATTCTCGTCCCTGTCCAAGATTGAGAAATCTTCTGTGCGTATCCACCGTACATTCATTCATACATTAAGCTTTCCAGTGAGGATAGTTGACGTAACAATACGTGAACACTTTTCATGGGACCCGGTGGAGAATCACTTTAACAAAAGCCGGCCGGATATCACGAACAATGTACTTTCCCACAAGTAAAGGTCATTTAAGGATATCAGGTAGTAGTGTCATGAGATTCGTCGCCGGGATTGATTCTCTGACTGAATTAGAGAATCACAGTATCACTTTACTGCTTACCCTCCAAGTGAAACAGAATTGAACTCAGCAGTCGCATGGGCTGCAGAACTTGAAGTCACCGGTTTGGTCCATGGTGTGATGGAACTAAGTGATCATTATTTCTACCAAACGTATCTAATTTTCTGATAGTCAGCAGGATAGCCCTGCTGTCGGAGACATAAGCTTGCCGAGATCAAACAGACGATTTTTTTGTTTGAGAAAAGCGTTCGCCCTTTCATCATCAATGACTTACCATGCGCATCAGGTGTCCACCATCAGTGGTTAATCGCATCGCTTTCTCCAGGTCGAAATAAACGTCAAACCACCGTGGATTTTCCTGTTCCCCATTCATTGCAACCTGAAGGGGGGGTGTCGGGAATTATTAGCAGAATCCAAAACCTTCGCACTTATGAACAGAGATTTCAAAAATACAATATCCTATTCGGATGCGCGGCGGAACATGTATAAAGCATTACGTAAATATTCCACCTTCAAAATTAAGCAGATACCTATTTTAAGCGTCAAAAAATGGAAAACTATGGAGCTTGAAATACGGTAAAGCTTAAAAAAATACTTTATGGCACCGGTAATCGAGAATTACTCGGTTCTACTGAGACAACTATCCCTTTTATTTTATTTACTAAATAAAGACCTTATCTTAGCATCTTGTAAGACATCCTTGTTGATCAAGATGTATTTAAAAGAAAAAAACACAAGCAACTTTTATTTGGTACAACCACTTCCGATTTTTTCCGGCAAGGAACTCTCGTTCTACATAAGTACTGGAACGTCATTTCTCTGGGTAATCGAAAACTTCCAGCTTTCAAAAATAAAACATAAACAGGATATGTACCGTTCATTACTGACCTTGAGGTGTAAAGCGGTTGAACCGGCTAATTTGCTATTCTCCTGGCTCACTTTTGCAATGTGACGCATGATGTAGTGACAGCCTTCAATCTGAAATAAAGGGACGAAGAAAATGGACAACGGGATTGGGCATAACGCAGGCGAGGTGTTCAACGTCATGTACAAAAAAGTCACCGGATATCTGAAGATAACTACTTAGGCTGTAGTATTTGATGCTTATATTACCAATCCGATATCTTGAGTAGTGGGCAACTCGCATTCAATCATACATTTTCCTCCTAGCCGCCTTGAGCAATGGACGGTACAAGATTCTGCATGTTATCAATTGCTTCCATCCCTCACTTTGTTTACATTTTATCCAAATCGTCTTGATATTTGGCACGGTTGTCATCGCTCTAATCTGGGTTTGCCTGTGTCCGTGTAACAGTGATTGACAAGATGAGGCCGCATTGAAATTTTCAAAACTTAGACCGCTTAACTAACACACATGAGAAAGCCATCGAAACGTGTAGGTGAACCTCGCCACATACATTAAGCTGTTTGCAAAGCCATCAGTTCTCGATGTCTAACGGGAGTATAATTTTTTGGTACTGATAAATAGCAGGTTGAGGTCATGTTTTTAAAATGACTCAAAAGGAAACAAAACATCAAGTTCCAAGGATAAGGCTAACGTGGAAGTTAAAGGAGTCCAGTGAAGCACTTGATGAAAACAGAACAACCAAATGAAAGTGATTGTCTCTTCTATGAATAAATTGATTTCAGATGAGCGACTGCATGGATCTGTCATCGATCAAGAAGTTTCATGGGCACAGAGACACATACGAGGAGCAATTGGATGTATAGCATCAATGAAACCATCATTGACTTTTATCATCAGTAGTGAATGCAACTGGATGATTTAACTGTGTTGATTAAGTCGCCTCTTTCAGCAGCGATGCCACTCACTATTTTTCCGACTCAACTGAAACTGACTCTCTTCCGACGGGGCACTGGGATAATTAGTAGACGGTAATACACCTAGGTTGCCACGGCAAGTGATGTTCGCTGAGGCAGGTAGGGGGTGGAAGAAAGTCAAGGATGGTCAAACTAAGACCTGGCATGAGGGTATGAAAACCCTAACCAGCAGTCTGGGTCACATAGGTCCCGTTAGGCACCCTGGCTGGGGATATCGGGATGATGGTCACCGATGGTTAGAGATACTGAGTGATATGGCTGTGTCGTAAACAGTGGCGTTCGTGCGTCATGTCAATTTCTCTGCAACAGAAATCCACTGAAGTTCTAAATTTTCCCTTGGATTCTACTTTCAATCTTTTCTGTCTTTCTCCTATTGTTCATCTAAATGGGCGGCTAAAAGACAGCAACCCAAACCGGTGCACAAAAGTGCATGGTTAACGGTTTTATGAACTGAAACTGAAGGTGAATATACACTCACATTCCAGTAAATGTGGTCGAAATTACTTCTCTATTTTAGACATGAAATGTGACCGTTTTCTGGACATATTTCCATGGTATTAAAAGAATGGACATCTTATTTTTAGACCGAGGAAGGACAAAAGAAGCTGTTTAGTAATATCTCCGAGGCACATACTGAGACGCAAATTCTCCGAGGACAAATGAAGAAAAAAACACTCACCCTTTCACGTTCTGCTTCATCCTTCAACTCATCCTGTTTACACCTTAATTCACGTATCCACTTTTTGTACTGATTAATTTTATTCTGACTCTGAAATATGGAAAAAAACAGTTCTCAGATAAGGAAATGATCGGTAAATTATGTAATTATTATACCAACAAAACATTCTCATAGTTGCAACAAACTGTTGTTAATAAAGTTTTGCAACATGCGTTATCAGCCTAATCCGGTCTCTGTGGATTAAATTCTCCACCAATTAAGATGCGTCTGAAAATAGGTGAAATTTACTCAACATTTTTACCACTTTGAAGTAGATTTCTGTGTCAGTACTTTTGGTTCATAAATCTGACTATAATTATGTGGTCACTTTGAAGAATACTGCTTCAAAATCTTTTAGAGCCACGGTTGAGAAAACTTGTTTGCTATATGACATATACAAGCTTATGAATGGGTCAGTGAAGACAAATAGTGTCTGTTTCCCATTGCACCTGTTCACCGAGCTTGGCAATTCGGTTGCAAACGTCCCATCACCAGCCGAGTTGACATCGTCAGTGCTTGTGAAGTGGCAATGTTCATTCATTTATATCTGTTCTTCTCTACCAACTATTTTTGTCCCTTGTTCTCACTGTGTTCGACTCGGTTCGCTGTTGAACTGATGTGAGTGTTGTTTTTCTTTGGATTTATGTCCTGCATCCGCACCAAGTGTCAACTAATATCTGATGCAGAACCTGCTTTCTGTTTGTTTACTCAAGTCTCCACTGTCTGAGACGCGTAATACAATCATGCACTAAACGGAATTGCATGAAAGATCTTCAACTTGTCCAAATATAGGTACAAACAGGATAGAAATTACTGATTGCACGCAATAAGTTGCATGATTGATTCTCTTACCTTTTCCATTTCCTCATCTACCTCTCTGGCAGTCATGGAAAGGATTTGTGTTTGCCGAATGCATTTCCGGTCACCCTGTTTTGCAGCCTCCAGCTGGAATCAAAAACAAATGTGATTGAGGTGAGAAACTGATGGCAATTTTACTTTATCAAATCTTACCAGTATTTGAAAAGTTCCATGAAATGACCGTACTCAAACACCGATGAATATTTTACAAAGAAAAATGATTCACCTATAACTTTTTTCTCTCCAATATTTGCTAATAACTACGTATACATAAAACTACTGTCTGGTTCACATTTGAAATAAGTTTTCAGAGCCCCGTCTGGTCATTTTCGAGTATGCACACTGGAAACAGATTGAAATCCCTTTTCTGAAAATCACACGTGGACTAATCGTTAGACAAACTGATGCGCAGAATGATTGTTTTCATTCATGCTAATGCCATTTCTAAAATAATTTAAGTCATTCGCATCTGCCATAACCATCTCCACACGAAATCCATTTTCTTTACATGAACATTCTGAATTTCATTGGTCATCCTAACTGAGTTTAATCAACTTTCATTGCTTAAACAGGCTTAGGTGCAGAGGGATAAAACTGATTATATTTTACAATCACTTATCTAACCCCGGAGGTTATCTGATTTGCACATATTCGACCTCCATTTGACTTGTTTCCACACTATTCAATGTACTACTATTGGTAAGGGTTTTGTTTTCTTGGCTCACAAGACAGCTCGTGTTTTTCAGCAACTGCCCCGCGTTCGTGAAATCAGATTTGGTGGACATAATTACTACCACCATTTGCATTTGCTTTGAAGATAATTGGCAAGGTATTTCCACCGCTTAGGGTAACAGGTTGTTTAACTGACATATCAGTTTTTGCCTGCATCTTTGGTTACCCTGTGTACGCACGTGAACGCCTCGGTTATGCTGTAATTTTTACAAGTGACCTATTGATTACCTATTGGTCAAGTTCCTATATCCCCGAATACAGTGATCTAATTGTTTGTTCTATAAGAATTACAGTTGTCCAAACGGTTGTTTGGCAGATTGAATAAGATTGAGAAAGGTTCAGTAGTCTCGTTGGGCTTCGGACCCACGCATGGATGCCGCTTACGCTTTGTACACGCACGCCTCACCAGCTGAACTATGAGGCCACACCGATAGCACTGATCTTTTCACATTCGAATTACCCGTCCAACTTACAGATGCATATGGCATCCACCAGTTAGCATGTAAGCTGACTGCCCCGACCGGTTTTCCTTAGAATTCACCGGAGTTCAACGAATGAATATCTAAGGCAAGTGGTTGCCTGTCGGGGCAGTCAGCTTACATGCTAACTGGTGGATGCCATATGCATCTGTAAGTTGGATGGGTAGTTCTAATGTGGAAATTACCATTGTGACTGAGGTTGGAATTGAACACTTTCTGATAGCTAACACTGAACATTAGAAAAAACTGTTACCGAACGTGCCTTTGAGTTTGTTTCTAACCATCTCGAAATCTCAAAATCTATGGACAAACTGACCATCAACTTTGGTTCACAATGCATCTTCAATCCGCGATCAAAATGGGCTTCGGAGTCCCATTCTGACAGCACTGCCGTATTTGGTAAATCAAACTGAATTGCGGAGAAAGCTTCCAATGAGCCGTGTTGCAGTCTCCCGGAAAAGCCACTAGGCATTTTTAATGCAATTTTTATTGTCTTAAAACGGAAAGCGCACAATTCCTAATCGTCAATTTACAATTACTTTGACGACAAAAACTGTTAAACACTATCGGTTAGGTGCATCGATAGGTCTCGAAGTTACTGCCGGGGGAAGGAAACTGCATCACCAAGTCTCATATCACATCCTTTATCGAGAGTCGAGCGTTGACAATGAGAAGCACTAGTTTAATGGAAACTCAAAGTTTAAATTTTTGTTCTCTTTATCTCACTGGTATATAAGGTGCTAATCATGAAATCCACCTGTAAAATCCTATCTTACACCAGTAAGATACTTCTACTACATTCAGGAGATACATCTTTTACTCATACTACTGGTTTACTACTTCTGGTCTGAGGATTCAGCTGTCTCTCCTCTCTTCCACAGTGTCTCCTAGTATTTTCGGTAAATTTCCGGTAAAATAACTAATTAGTGGGATCTTCGGTATACTTGAGCTAATTTCCTATCCTTTCGGACATTTCACTGAATGAAAGCTTTCAACGCTTCGCAAACGACAAGGCTTTTCTTGCACCTTTCCTAACTATCTGTTGGTGGTAATCATTTGACAGTGGAGCCAACAGATAGCCGTGCTTGGATGGTATTGCTGGACAACTAGAGAAATCATTACGCAACCGTTACCAACGGAAACAGCGAAATAGCTATCAAAAAAACTTACCTGTTTTTTATATTGTACAACCGGATCCAGTTGGGCCTGAAGGGATTGAATACAATTTCCAAAGTATTGGTAGGTCCCGAGAGGCCTATGATTTTCACCCTTAGACACCCATACAGGACCGCGATATGCACGGCTCAGTACAACTCGGCTTTCCGATCCAAAAAGACTGGCGTCCAAACACGGAACTATATATTTCAGACAAAATGAAGCGCGGCGAGGTTATGAGTTATCACATTTTCCGACGAAAGACCGAAAAATGTAAATATCTTATTTATTCCTAAACATTACCAATAATCGTAAATACAGTTGTCTCATACTCTAACTAGCCACTCCGATTTCAGTGAAATCCGTTATATGTAGAAAATAGCAGAAAATTAGACTAAACCCCAAATTGGGGATTTTTCCGACCGAAATCACAGTGAATGTCAAGTCAAGTCAAGAGTGCACTTTATTCATCCCATGTGGACAGAATTTTCAGTGAAAAGAATGTTATCGTTTTACTTTGCATTGAGTGCTATTAAAAATGAGCCCAAAGATATGACAAATAGTTACTGAGATGATAATGAATCGGACACCGAGAACGCGTAGAAAAATAAAGAAAATTTCAATGTGGAAATTTACATTAGACTGTGTATAAGTTCGTTTGATGTTCGCTCTTTAGAAACCAACAAACGTGAAAGATAAGGTACAACGGAGTTGTGAAAAGCAGTGGTACGAGTATATAAAGGTTTAAATTTATTGCGGGTTACAGAAGTCAAAATGGAGCCAGATGGAGCTGTGTGTGAGGGATGTGACGCATCGGACAAGATGGAGTCACACAGACGGTCACACGCATTCAGGTGTTGGTTGACAACGGAATCAACCGGGTCCTTATAAGATACAGCTCCATATCTAGATATGCTTTTCGGAGAGTGTCTAATTAATATGAAATCCTTAGACAGTAGACCGGGAAAGATAACGGGAGAGCAGTAGGTCCAATGGTATAAAACCCATGAGAAATTAAATTTGGAGATGATGTACAACAGCACCCTCAGATGCCGAAGGCGTGAAATATAAAGGGTTAACTTTCTGGCTTTGAGAAATGTTTGTTCTATGTGATAGAACTATTTGAGGTCAGCAGATACGAAACATCCAAAAAATTTGAAGTGTTTTGACCTTCCAACTTTAAGATTATTGATCAAGATATTGGGAACAGATCCAGAAAGAGTTGATGGTCTACGGTCAATGGAAAACAAAACTTCAATGCACTTATTGGGGTTTAAAGAAAGGTCACCACCGTCGGACCATTCAGAAATGGAACTTATGGCTAATGCAAGGGGGTTAGTCCAAGGGTTGTTGTTGCGAGATGCACCACCAACTACTATGTCATCGGCATATTTAAAAGGGAAAACATTTTGGGGTGACTGATTAATTTTTGATATAAAAGGATAACAGAAAAGGGAATAAAATTGCACCCTGCATTACACCCTGGTTTACAGTAACAGTAGAAGACCTAATACCATTGAAACATTTGAATTGGCGTCGGTCGGTAAAATAGTCATGCATCCCTTTCAAAACATGTGGCTGGAGATTATGTTGCCGTAACAGTGTCCATAGGATGTTTCTGTCTACAGAGTTAAACACGTTTGTTTAGTCCAAGAAGCAAACGTGAACAATTTTGTCTATTTTTGGTCTATAGTGGATAGAACAGAATGTATAAGACAAGCAACCACATCTTAAGTAGGGTGACGCTTAAAAGAAGCAAACTGATTGGAATCACGAAAATCAAGATTAGAGGATAGGTGCTTAATAATAATAATACGAGCAAAAGTCTTAAGTAGTACTGAAGTTGAAGCAATAGGCCGAAACTTACCTTTTTCTTTCTTAGGTACTGGAGTAAGACGAACATCACGCAATGTGTTAACTAGTATTCCTTCTGACAGACATGTATTAAAGATAAATGAAACGGTTTGGGGGAGGTGGTTTGCACATGTTTTAAGGACCACTGGGGATAACGCATCAGGACCAGCGGATTTATTTCCATTGACAGTATTTAACTTCTTTTAAAACTTACTCTATTGTGACAAATACAGAAAGGTGGAAATCAAGTTATGTTGTGTTTGGACTCGGTAAAGCTTACACAACGTTTTTCACTGAAGCAAAAGATTTGTTGAGCCATGCCTGATTTGAATAGCATCGTTTTTAAAACAATGAATAATAATCTACATTGTTTCAGGGAATCAAAGTAAGGCTGTATCAAGATAATATTCGCTTGCATCAGGAAGCTGATGAATTGCCCCAATTTGTCACCTCAAATTAGCTTCCAGGATGACCTCATCACAATTTCTAGCTCTATTATATATATATATATGATAATAAGTAGTATGTGAATGACTGGACAAAATTTCCCTGGAAGCGCACGACCGGTTTCGCGGTTCTTGCCCCTCGTCAGGTATGCGTATCCGGTAATCTTTTGTCAGTTCATTCACATACTTGAACCCAGGAAGTGTATTTTCGTCACAATAACCTTGTTTGCAACGCCGGGTGACCATTGGATAAACAGCTCTTTCAGAGCCAGTCCTATGAAGAATCAATGCTATGATTCGATGTTTTGTAAGTGGGTTAGATGTTACTAACCGCAAAAAACGTGACCTGATGGTCTTGGTAGAATATTTGATAATATATATATAGATAGATAGATAGATATATAGATATATATGTATATATAATTATTTCTTTGCAACCGGGAGGCATAATTTATAGTTTGGTGCAGCTTATCTGTCCGTAATGATCGTATCAGTGAAAACCAACCATACGTAGCGTTGCCCTCAGCTCGCGAAGGCCAGTGCTTCTTGCGCCACGAACTACCCACCTTTAACTATCCACCTATACCTCGTTCATACCACCATGAGTATAAGATGACTAAAAGTGAGAATATTTTGTCTCTTTCGAAAAATATATGATACAAATTTAGTTTCCTTCCTACGGAATTTTGAAGAAAGATGTGTTTGTAATGTATTTCATTTTGAGTGACAATTTAGGCATATAGATACACTACGTTTTATAGCCCCAAGCGAATATTTCACTTAGTCAATGAAATAGTGCTTATATAAAACGAATTTTTAAATGTTCTTTCTTTCTAAATGGGCCATGAAATTATTCGGCAAGAGGGGATCCATTGTAGATCCCATTACTTTCCTAACAATCTGTCTTCATGGAACTGCAATACATTAGATCTGACTGCTATAAGTCTAACAATGAACACGTTGTTTGAGTTCGTCTACCGATAAACCAGCATTCTTCCCCGAGTTTCCTGTGCCATTCACACAGCACTTGGTTATCTTCTTGAGAGAAACATAAGTAAATTTTGTGGTTACCTTTATCAATAATCTTCTTCTGCTGTTCTTATTAATGGCTGTGATACAGTCCACACTTTCGAAATCAGATTAACAGGTTAGAATGGAATTATTCAATGACCTAGCGATTGAATCGATTATTTTGAGCACGGGTAATCACAAAACTGGATGAACCAGAATTTATATACGAAACAATTGGACAAAATTAAAAAGTGTTAGACTGTATTAAATTAGTTTCATTTCACACCAAATACACCTGGTTGAAGTGAATAAATTGCCCTCTAACTTTCAGATAGTATGATGCTCAAAAATGAGAGAAAACAGACGTTCATTTCCAAGGTTATTTTGCACTAAACACATGCTAAACAAAGAGGAGTATTTGGCATGCATTGTAGAAATATGATATCATGAAGTGCCTAAGGGATGAAATATGTCAAATTTACTGAAACCCACTCTGAGAGAACTTTTTCATCTCCTCTCCATTCCATGCGAACACACGTTTCACCGGCGCACCCAACTGAAATCGGTTTGTACAGGTTTGCAAAAACTAGAATCAAAAAATCAGGGAAGAATAAAAAGAAGAGTTGTTTATATAATATGTAACTTTATGATGAAACCTATTTATGGCAGAACATGGTTCAATAAGACCGATGGGTCCATGCCCTATTGAATAAACTCACCGCTTCCCATTGGTTTGAATCGGCCACCAACTCGTAGGCCAAGGTGGCCGATCCATTTTGCAATGTGAGAATTCGCAACCGTTTTCGATCATTCAAAGAGCTGCAAGTAATGAAGCAATACAGGAGACTCCAGAAAATTTATTTGGTGGTTTTGATTCAAATAACTATATTAAATTGCCAAGCTGTTCAATGTTCTAAACGTTTGTGGGTTCTTTCGTAAATGAGTTTGAAAATCAGCTTAACTTAACCAAAAATGGTCTACCATAGAGCTAAATCGTGTAATTAAGGATTTTATATGCCTTATAAACAGTGGTATAACTAAATTAGAAATGTGTCTCTATTTGGATCACTAACCGTGTATCAGAGTGAAGAATAATTTGAATCAAACAATTTCAGCAAAACTGGTTAAAAACGTATTACACTTGAAGGTTTACACGTAGTTCTCTGGGTCGTTTTATTTCTGTCCCCAAGAACACAGGCCTGATTAGTCAGTTGGCGATTTTCCCCACAAATCTGTTCTCTAACGGGGAACATGTGTAAACGAAATTGGGCGCCGTATAAACTTAATCACATCCTGCACTACTACCATATGTCTAGTCCGGAATGGACGCCATCTTAATTGGCTACTGATCAACAGTGACTAGAGATGGAGTAAAACTCACAATTTTTGGTGAATACGGTTGATCGAATCTAATTTTAGGTTACCAACTCCTGAATTATTTTTCCGAATTGTGAAACCGATTTGAATGTAATATCTGCCGTGCATTCTATACCATGCTTTCCGGTCACAGGTGAACGATTTGATGCTTCAGTAGGTTTTCGCATACATCGCATAGGGCACTTCCAACACATATGAACCAGTATCACCACGGGCGCCTACGGGTTTCATGAAACAATCCGCTCAGTAAGGATAAAATAGCTTTAAACCAGCTTATAAAGAAAGGTTCCCGGTTTGTGAAATCATCATTCTTTTGGGCTCGAATTATATACGCCTACTGACCAAGGATTCCTACACGAGCCATTGTTCGGGGTCGAACAACAATCGTAGATTGCGAGGGCATTCGATGTGAACTGAAGCCAAAGCCAGTTAAATGAGTTCCGCATTTTATTTTAACCTTACGAAATGAAGTTACTTTCACACTTTGGCTCATCACGGGGGGGGGGGGGGGTGTTGCCAACCCACACAGCTCCCTGAATTCCGTTTTCCGTCGAATATGTTACCCAATAGAAATTGGACGGTTAGTGGCATCCTATCAACTGATGTTTTGGTTTAAAGGTACATGGCTAAAAGGGAATAAGTTTGAATGATAAAAAGATACAACGTGTATGTAAAAATTCAGCTTTTGCTCTTAGTTTCTCAAATCTCTCGTGATTGTGAGTATGTTTCACGTGCGTTCAAGCTAGCAGAAGCTGGCTCTTTTTGTTTGTTCCACAAGTTTTAGCTTTCTGTAAATAGCTTAATACTCAAAGTTGGTCCACTTTGGTATTTTTGGGTACGACGAATGATCCTAAATTTGCTGAGTCTGTTCATCTGAAGCGTTGGTAAGATGGAGATTTTGTCTCAACATCAAACAGTTAGGATCCCAGATTAGATCGGAACCACAATTTCAG